AAGGGGACAGGGAGCAAGTGAGTTATTTTTTCCAGCAATGTCATAACTTTGAACAGTGTTGAATGAGTAGTTGGTAAGCAAGGACTACCTGTACTATGGATTTGTCCAGAAGTTTAGACACTGTTCAGCTCCACTTTGTCCACTTATATCTTCTGAAATTTACCTTTGTTTTAAATTAATAAAAAGAAAAAAATGGGATTATGATCTGCACGTGTTATTGAGCATATCTACACTTCCCTAATAAATGTTGTGAGAGCCTTGGAGACCCAACACGTATCTATTCTTGAATATGTTTGATGTCTAGGTGAGAAAAACGTGTAGTCTCTTGCTTCTGGATTTTTTAGTCTCCAAGCATCAATCAAAGCCAACACGTCCATATGCTGGAAAACCTTTTTGGGGAGCTTTCCACCTTTTTTCCTTTGAAATGATTCATCTAAATTCAGATCTAGCACTTCATTCATGTCTCCTACAATTCTTTCTCTTCTCTATCTGCAATTTCTATTAGTATATGGAAAAATATTTCATAAAATTATTCCTTATATCTGGAGAACAAAAGGATGCCAGCATTAAAACTTTACCTTCATTTCTTAGTTTCACAAATAAATTCTTCTTTATCCTTTAATTGTTCTAATACTTCCCAGGAAGGTGATTTAACATAAATTACTATTCTATTTTTCTTTATTTTTCCTGATGCTATATATTCCTGACTTAATTTTTTCTGTTTTAACAAATCAACATAGTCTTGTTTTATGTGCATTTCTTGTAAGCAAACAATATCAGCTTTATGTATTTTGGAGCTTGTTAAAAATGTTGGGTAAATTGAGTCCATTTACATTTAATGAGATTGATGTTATTCATTTTGGTTTCAATTTAATGTTGCAGCTATATCAAGTTTCTCCTTCTTCATCTCTGGTATCTTTGCCAATGCCAAAAAGATCTTTGTTAAGTCTTAGGCAGTTAGTCCTTCTTATAAAGAGAGGCCTCTGTGGTTGTCCTAATAGTTATTCTTTTTGCTTCCAAAATGTCTTCCAATGCAATGAGAATTCTCCATCTATATCTAATTATCTTTTACCATCTTGTATTCCTATTTCAAAACTTAGTGTTAAGGCACAAAATACTCATAGATTCTTTGACATCATGAACAAAACCACCTGATTTGTTTTATATTTGTGGAAATCAAGTTTATAAAACCTTGTCCACAGGATGGATAAGAATGTGTGTACTTAGATGGTTGTATTCCAAATGTTTCTATAACCTAAGATCTGACTTCAGATTAAATTTAAATCTGGGAACTTTTCACCTGTAGGAGAACTATTTCTTGAAGGTTATCTATTTTAGAAATCAGAAAATTGGGTTTCCATAATTTTTTAAGACTCTTAATCCCCAGGCTGGGCATTGCAGAAATGGAAAAGGCTTTATATGGGATATCAGCAAAGTTGGAACATGTTTTTAACACAATCTTAGACTCAAAACTCTACAGGATGAAAACAACTTCCCTATCAAAAGTAGTCTTGCAGAAGCAAACAGAAGAATCTTAGATTTGTTAATTATAGCCCAAGGGGAAACATGTATCTAATTGCAGGAGAAATGCTGTTTCCATGCCTATAAAAGTGGGAAAATGGAATAAAATGCCCAAGTTTTAAAAAATGCATGAAGTTTTTTCATGTGGCCTCTAACACCACCAAAGCTGTGTTTTTCAGTTTTCCATGGTTAACATCAATTTTTCCAAAATTAGGTCCTTGGGGGGAAAATGGTTTTAAAATGGGTCATAATTTTTCTTTCCCCTTTAATTTTAATCATTATTGGATTTTACTTGTGGGAAATATTTTATAAAGTTGTTTTGTTTCAAATGTAAAACAAAGAAGAGATTTTCCAGGAAAGTTTTTTTGGTTTTATATAACCATCAAATCAAAAATGTATTCACAGTCCAAGACTAAATACAATAAAAGACTAGCATATAATACATAACTATAAAAAGAAGTTTTAAAATTACAAGAAAATCATAAAGCAGTTAGCAGCTAACAATTTATAGCATGAGGAAGGAACCAAATGAGGCAATAAGAGAGAATGAGAACTATTTTAAATCAATACAGAACTTTAAATAATAATGCAATTATTTTAAGCTCAGAGGGGGAAATTTGTAGGAAAAATTTTAGGGGTTCAATTTTAGACCCTAATTCCTTTTTTTTTTTTTTTAAATAAGCCACACTGCAAACTCAGCTACCAGCTATGAGGTGCCTGGAATTCGCAGCCATGCCAAGAGTAATAAGGTGCTAAGAAGATAAGTGCAAGAATGTAAGCTAGCTGCACAGGATTAACATTAAGTATCTGGGAGCTGTTAACACTAGCTCCGGGAATTCAAGGTTTTTAGCTATCAGTTTAGTTATAGAATCTTAGGCCTATTGTTTAAATCAAAGGATCCATTGTGTACAGAATCATTTGGTGAATCGTTCTCATCATTCAATGTGTATTTTAATATGCATGTGAATTAACCCAATCAGTAATGTTAGCCTTACCAATCACATTGACGGTAAGATCTTATTGCTTAGAATAGATTGATCATTTATAAGTTTATGCCAGGGAAGATTTGCAATTGTAGGAAAAATGATAATACATCAGCTGTAGCCATCCTCATTTAAAGCATATTTTTCTACTGGTGCTTCCTACTATTGATCGTACCATACAAACAATTGTGATCAAATCCAGTATAAAGGCTGTGGTTCACATGACAAACTAAATTACAAATCAAATAACTATATTTCATGTTGTTTATTTTAGAGTTTATGTTCAGTAATTTGCAAACCCTGAAAGCTAAGTTGAGGAAGTCATGAGGTATCATGCAAACCAAGCCAGACAATAAGTCTTAATTTCATCTTAAAGTTGAATTAATTCAGCTGTTTTTGGGGGGCAGAAAGCGGGGGGGGGAGATAAAAACAAAACAGAAGTTGGAAGGGGTTAGAGTTAAAGAACAGCATGGAGCAATATATAGAAGATGATACAAAACACTCAAAAGCTGAGGATAAAGATTATCATCACACACTCTCTGGTTCTAATTATGTTCTTCAGCTATTCAATAAATATATCTCTAATTCTGCTATTTGCATAAGCCATCTAAAATTCATTTTTATATGGTTATTGTAGAGCAAACATTCATGAGTTAGATTATATAAGATTTATTGTATTGATTAGTTTTTCAGTTGTTTTTGAACTTACTAAAGCACTTTTAATAACCAACCATAGTTAAGAAATTAAAAAGAACAGGTGTCTTTCACTGTAGCTGATTAATTACTGTCCAGGATTAAAGTGTATAGGAAAACAGATGGTAAGGATTTAAACAAGAGGACAGATGTATTTGCATCATGAACTTAGCAGATAAATCTCTAGAATTTAGGGACCAGGCACGATTATTACGTTATTTGAATGGCAATCCTGTGCTATGCACAATTGGCAAGAACTGTTGGCTTTGTACTGATAATTACTTAAATTATATGCAAAGATATTTGTCCCTTAACTGCAGCTGTCATTAAAAAAAATAAGTCTAATATACTGTTCATCACATTTGGCAACTCAACTTTTTTTCTTTACAAGATAGTAATAATTTGGATGTCACATTTCCTAGAAAAAATTAATTGCATCGTAAATCAAATATTTTAGACATTTAGTTTATGAGATGTATATCTCACCTTTCATTGAGGAATATATAGTTCCCTCCTCCTGTTTTCCCCCCAACTGCCCTGCAAGTCTGAGAGAGACTAACAGACTGTCTCAGTCACCCAGTGAGCTTCCAAGGCGCACAGTGGACTAGAACCTGGGTTTCTCCAGGGTCAGACCAACACTTTTGCTGCTGGCTCTCAGCATTTTGGTGTGTGCATCTCAGCAGCTCAGAAAATTGAATAACATATTCTTAATTAAGGTTAAGAACACTCAGCAAACCTAGCTTTGCTCAATTAACAAGTTGACCATTGATATATTTTAAACAAATGTAATTAAAATATTGCAGTATTTAAAAATTGTTACAATGCAGTTTATCATTTGTCTACTGCTGCCTATTAAACACACACTCCTGCCTTTCAAGCTGTTTTGAAATTTGTCCAAGTTTTGTAATTTCAGATGAATAAAGTGCATTGCTCCCTAATGTATGTCCGTTAAATATGCTTTTAAGAACACTTTCATTCAAATATTGCAAGGTCTTAACAAGTACTGCTACACATAAAGCAGTTGGAAATTTTCGACCTTCAGCTGCGTTGCAAGCACATGTTATATGGGCTGAATATATATGGATAAGCGCTTTTTAGATTAAAAAAAAGTGCGCCTCTCCGTAGTAAGTTAAGCTATTTGGGAAACCCGCCTTCTTCAAAACGGATCGCTCGGAAAGGCTATGTATTCGCCGCAATATCTTTTAGGCTTAACATAAAGCACGTGCGCATTACTTTCCGAGCTTCTCGCACCCGGCGCAACACGAAGAGCGACTAGGCAGCAAGCGAGTTGCCCAACCCAATTCCAACGGAATTCGACGAAGCTCACGCTCAGACAAATCGGGCAGCGTGAAAAACCCTGCTGTAATTCGAAGATAACGCCGCGAGCCAGAGCTGGCCAGAGAGACAACGGCCGCTTTCACGCGCCCACTCCCCCTCCGAATTGGAAAAGGGGGGGCGTTTTCTCTTCGAGCGGGACCAGCTCCAGCAGAACCGTTTGACTCTGCCGTTCAAACCATTCGGAGGAAAGGCAAGGAAAGCAGCGCGGAGGGAAGAGGGAGGTCTCAGCAGTGGCCAATCGAGCCCTCACCCCGCAATGCGGTCAACTCGCTCACGCGTTCTCGCCTTCAATTTCAGGCCTATATATACTCGCGCTGGAGCTCAAGCAGACGGCGCCTGCGCGCTTTTTTTCCCAGCAAGCCGAATTCCAAGAGAAAGGAATGTGTGCGCATGCGTTGCCTTTCCTCCCCTCCCGTCTTGCGCGGCGCGTGTGTGTGGAGGGAGATTCCTCCCCTCCCTCCCTTAGATAAGCGGCTCCCGGTGTTGAATGAGAATAGCCAAAGCGGTGGACGAAAATCCGGAGACGGGCGGCGGTTCGCCTGGTCGCTGCTGCCTTTTGCTGCCTCTTTCCCGGCGCCTGTTCGCTCGTCCCTCATCAGCAGGTGAGCGAACGAGCCGCGGGCAAGTGGCGAGCGCTGCGGGGCTTTGGCGGGTGGGCGAGAGTCTGCTTTTGTCGGTTCCGTGGGCGCCGCCGCCAGGCCCTCGGGACCAGCCGGGCTCCCGAGGAGGGTTCAGGTGCCGCTCGGTGCTCTTCGCGCTTCTCTTTATTCCCCGCCCGCCCCGGGGTACTTCTTCACCTGGCGTGTTTCAGCTCGCCTCCTGGGCGAGGCGAGGGGTCGGTGGGAAAGAGGGTGTTTCTCTCAGCCGCCCCCAGTGCCGTTCCTGACAACACGGACGCGGGTCCTCCATTTAACTCCTTTCAGACGTTCGCCCAAGAAGCGCCTGCTTTCACACCGTTGGTGGGGGAAAAGGGCGGGGGGCAGCTTCAAAAACGCTTAGGGCCCTATTAAAACTTGAGTTTTTATGCTTGACATTATGAACTCTGTTGAGTTGTAAAACTGCGCGGTTGAATAGATGCGATCTCAGGTCCCGACCTCAACGGAAAGCCTTTATTTTACCTGTATGCATGCACCAAGCCGTTGAAGGCATAGATTAACAACTGATTATTATATTTTTAAAAAGCCAGATGTTTCTCTGCTATACTTTCATTTAAGATTACCAGCAATGCAGTCCATTCCTAATTTGTGCTGTCTTGTTTGTGACACACCTATTCCTGTCTCTTGCATGTGTGACTTTTTGAGATGGATTTTATGTTTAAAGCACAATTTCTGTTTCGTGATTTTCACAGGCACATGCCTGTCCACTTTAGGATTTTTTTCTTTTTTTCTTTTCTCTCTCTCTTTTTTTTGATGTTACTGCTACTTGTTTTCTTTTTTTTGCTGTTACTGCTACTTGTAGAACTGGCCCTTTATATGCTCTGTTCTGCAGCAGAAGTGGAGTGTTCTAACGTTTGTATGTAAAGTATGTAAATATACATGCACATGTTTAGAACCCTTTGCATAGTGCATGTCTTGACAGGTTTGCAATTTGCTCCCCTTTTTCTTTTCTTTTTTTTTGATATTGAATCTTGTTTTTGTAAGCTTGAGATTACTTGCAACCTTCTAATTAGTATGAGTCCTACATCACCCTGTATTTCAGGTGGTTCTGCAGATGTTTTTATTTTCCACCTAACTCTAGTTCCAAGATACTATGTGCCAAAACATTTTTTTAGGGCTAGGAACTCCATCTGTTATGTCCTGAGAAGGGAAGCCTCTAATTTTACTTAAGTTCCAAGTTCCAATCTTCCAGTCACAGGCTGGTTTTGCCCCACACACCAATGCATACTTAATTTGAACTGGGTATTATTGAGATACTCTAATTCCATAGGTATACACAATTTACTGAACCATAAACTAACCACACTTGTTGCCTTAACGCAATAAACAGAGCAAACTAACCACAATTTATCCTAATTCAAGAGTATGCAGTTTCTCTTGATTCACATAGCACATTAGATGCTTCATGACTTATTGAGGAAAGGGGCATTTTTATTTTTTAAATGTGTTTGTGTATAATTGTTTTGTTTTCAATACATAAATACTGTTAGACCCCTCTCCATATTTACCTTTAAAAAAAAATTAAAATACTGCAGTTTGTTTGGCCTCCAACAGATGGTGTTATAGAACTGAGATTCCGCATTGAAGAAAGAAAGGGCTCCTCAGTGCTCAGAAAAGACACAACAGAAGAAAGAAAAAAGGTTGGGAAAAGGGAAGAAAGACAGCTCTTGTAATGATGGGGGAAAATGCATGCAAACGCGGGGGGGGGGGGGGAAGCATACTGAATCTGTAGGGAGAAGAAACCAAGAATGGATAGGAAGGAGAAAAAGTATCATTTGGGATATAATGAAAAAGAAGGAACCAATTGGAAAATCAGAGAGAAGAAATATAATTTTTATTAAAGTTTAAAAATACAAAGATCAAAAACTAATACTAACTAAAAAAAATATAAAAAAATAAAAAGTGCAAAGGGGGAAAGCGGGAGGAAAAAAATATATAAAGAAAAAACAGTATATGAAATGACTTCCTTCTTCATCAAGACAAGTACAATTTCAGTAATGTATCACCTTTTCTAACATTTCAGCCAAAAATCTCTTTATCCCGTATCTCATCTTTTATCTATTAATAAATAATAAAACCTCATCATTCAGTCTTAATCAGCAAAAGTCCATTAAGAGTTACCAGAAATAATAATATATGTGTCTCTTAACATTAAACAAATAAATCAATTTCATTTCATTTCCTTTACCCAGTAACTTGTTTTCTCTAAAAATACAACAAAATTTCTTCTTCCCATATTTTATCTTATATCTATAAGCAAACCTATAAAGCCTCATTGTTCAAACTTAATTTTAAAAAATCCTGTTAAGAGCTATCAGAAAATCTTAATCTTCAAACCCTTCAAATCATATCCCACAAATTAATTTCTTATCATTTTCCCTTTGTCTCCTCTCAGAAATTGCTTTGCAAATTTAACACTTTCCTTCAATTTTAACTTCATAACTCATTGCTTTATCTAATCATGCAATAAAAAAAATCCCTTCTTTCCCTATCTTATCTAATAGTAAATCTTTAAAGCTTCATCATTCATTCCTGGTCAAGGAAAACCCATTGAAAGCTACTAGGAGGAAAAAAAAATATTTAAATTTGGTCACACAAACTGACTTAGTAATCCTTTATTTTCATTTTAAAAGGCTTGGTGTTTATTCCTTTTAAGTAATGTCCCAAAAACTGATTTATTTTCATTCTCTCTTTTCTCAGAAACTCCTTCATAAATGTAACACATTTCTTTTGTAAGTCCAAAATAAGAAAGTTGTCCAAGTCACTCTTTGTTAAAATCCACACATCCAAATCACTCTTCTGATTCATTGTTTGTGTATCCCTTTTAGCTATTAAAACATCAGCTGGTTTCATTTGTAAGTCCTGTGTAGCATCTTTGTCAATATCAATCTTGCAGCCTATCATTTTTAAGTCCATATCCAAAACAGCCTGATTCTCAGTTATATCCTCTTCTATCTGCTCTTTAAAACCCATTTTTATGGTATCAGACAATCTTAACAGAAAGTTCTGAGTACATTGTTGCCAAATATCCTTGAATTCTTCCAGAGTTAAAATACTTT